CTCTAAATTTAATAGTAAGTAATTAAAATAAATTAATTAAAACTCAATAAGCCCTCTATTTTTACTGCTCTCAGTAGGAAGTGATGCATGAGAGATTAAAACATTCATGTCCTAAACTCTTGCTAACTAAATACAAATCCCCTTCACTGGTATAAATTGGGTATTTGTGCTTGACCAGCCTTGCAGTGGTATGAATTCTTCTTTTTGAAATTAAGATATAGCATGTTCACAAAACATATTCTCCATTGCTTATATTTAAGTGAATGAGCATTATATTCAATATTACTGTGATTTAAATGGTTTGATTCTTTTCTAATATTTTTTTTCTCCATTCCTTCTCTTCCATGAACAGTACAACCTTTTTGTGGCAGAGAAACAGTTTGATTACCCCAAGGATCCAGAATTTGTTACTTTCAATACATCCTTTGGCTACTTTGGCATTTTCACTTGTGCGGACATACTCTATCATGACCCAGCCGTGGTCCTGGCAAGCAGATTTCAGGTTGACACCATTCTATTCCCAACCACTTGGGTTAACACTCTCCCACTGCTGTCAGCGGCCCAGTTTCACTCAGCATGGGCTATGGGAATGGGCGTCAACTTTCTTTCAGCAAATACACGCAACGCCACTTTAGATAGTCATGACCCAGCCGTATTGCTCTAATTAATCTTGTTCCCGTGGGCAACATTGTTATCTATGTAGTGCAGTTGACCTGAGCAGAAATTCCCATCAGCTTTAGGTATGTGTGCAGATGTCAACAGGAGTAGGACAAGAGAACTTGTACAGATAAAAAGGAAATCAAAATGTGCTATGTAAGAACTCAGAAATACTTAAGTTGACTAGAACACCCCTAGTTATTTGTTAAATGATCGGTCCTGACAGTTTATGCATGTGATTCTTCAGCTTCTGACCCTGCTGTTTATCAATGTTTTGGTCATGGTGAAGGCTCAAACTTTTTTTTTCTCCACTAGGTGGAAACCTAACTCTGAGAAATGTTCTTGGGAGTCCTGCAAAGACTGCTGGGCTGGAGATCTTGTGTCAAGTTTTCTTTGCAAGCTCTGTTTTCACTGTGTATTTTTCCTGAGCAGATGCTAGAAGTCAAGCACAAGTTTTGTGGGTGTGTGCCTGCAGAACTGAAAGAGAACTTATTGGTGTTGCTAAAATGTAGCCCTAAACTTTGTCATCCAAATAAAAGCAGCTATGGGCTGTTCCTTTGGTTTTCAGTCACTTAAAATACTTGAAACATCAGAGTTTGTTCTACTTTCCATTGATTTCAAAAAGTATTAGGTTAGGATTGTAGTCTGTGAAGTCTTAATTTACTTTCAGAATAATCCGGTAAACATTAGAATAAAATTTGGCACATTTTTAATTAGTGAAGGCCGCTTACTCATACCATACCCTTGCTTTCAGATTAAAAGCTAAGCTTTCTGGTGTTATGTGTTTGCAGGGAGTGGTATTTATACCCCAGATGGTCCGAGAGCGTATTATTACAACACAGAAATGGAAAATGGTCACCTTTTGGTGGCAGAACTGAGTTCACGACCACGTCTGTCTCCTGACTATTCTGCTGCCGTTAACTGGAAATTGTATGCCAGCAGCATTGAACAGCTTCTGCCAAACTATCACTATTTCAGTGGGGTCGTTTACCACGATCTCTTCTCCTTCACGGAACTCACTGAACCTGAGGGAAACCATGCCATTTGCCAGCAGGACCTCTGTTGCCACCTGAGCTACAAGATGGCCGAGAAGCAGAAAGATGACGTTTATGTTCTGGGTGCCTTTGATGGGCTACATGTTGTTGAAGGAGAGTATTATTTGCAGGTAAAGGTTTTCTGTTCTTATTTGGACAGTGGGAAAGCTGCAATACTCTCTTTGCAGCCCATTTGCATTTGTCTTTTTTTTGATTGAGGGGGTTCCAGAAGAGGCATTTTTTAGGCCCCTCTGAAAACATTTGTTTTCTTCACGATGCATTTTGACTTCATTAGACATGTTGATCCTGCTTTTCTGTCTGTGTTATAAATGATGAAAGTGAAGACCCTGAGTTGAGCCTGTGCTATAACACTCCAAGGAGGTTTCCATATATATGTACAAAAGGGAGCGAAGATCGTAGAGTTCTCCCTGTCTTCATAGGGATGCTCTTGTCACAACAGAGAGCTGTTGTCTGCTCAGTGGATTGTGCCATTGTGCCAATGTGATTCTCTAACATGCAGTTATCTCACAAAATGAAGAAACTATTATATATATATATAATCTTTGCATTCACATGGCTTGTCAGTGTATTTGTTCTTTTAAATTTCACTCTTAGGCTTTTTTTCATGTGCTCTATCTTCTTATCTTTTCTCTATGTCTTTAGAGTATTCCTACTGGAGCAGGCAAATAAGCATGGCTTCAGTTTTTTTAGGAAACTCAGCCAGTGCTGAAGTAACTTACCTAGGTGATAGACTATGCCACATCTATGACTAAATTCATATGCATTGGGCATGAATGCACACGTAGCTTATAAACACACATGTGTACACACAGACACAGTGCTTTGCTGCTGTGCTGGTGAAGATCTGTCTTTTTACAAAGCTTCAAGTGCCAATGGGTCCTCTTGGCCTAAATAAATGAGTAGATGTATTCGATAATTTCTTCATCATGACAGCTTTTCTTACAGTCTTCTTACAGTCAAATCCAGCTCTTGATTGTTGAAAGCTTAGTGCTCTTTTGCCTTTCTGTGCCTTCCTCCCACAGATATGCACACTGCTCAAGTGCAAGAGCACCGACCTGAACACATGTGGGCAGCCGGTGGAGACTGCGCAGACCAGGTTTGAGAGGTTCTCCCTCAGCGGCACGTTTGGCACCAACTACGTCTTTCCAGAAGTCTTGTACAGCGGGGTGCAGCTGGCCCTCAGGGAGTTTGAGGTAATGGGACACCCTTGTGAGTTGTCAGACTTGTAATGCAAATGGTCAAAAAGCCACTACAAGATTAAAGGAGCAACTTGGGAGTTCTCAAGGGCCCTCTATTTCAGTAACTGGCTTGAGTTCAAGGCAGCTTTATTTCCGCCTGATTTTCCTGGTTACATTCATACAGCAAGTCCATTTCCTTGATTCCCTTCTTCTCCAAACCTCCTAGAACAAGATCTTGCTCAAGAAAGAGGTCGTATAGTTTTTCTCAGACTTAGCGGTGTCTCCCAAGTGAATAAGAGACTCAGACATGCTTTGCTTTGTCCTTTTTTCAAGACACCTCTCAACTAGGTTAACATTAATTAATATATTCTTTTCTGTTTTTCATACAATAGCACTGCTTTGCTGATGTTCCTGTTTATTTTACTTTCCCATAACTAGGTGCTAAATGATGGACGGCTGATAAGTCGGGCTAGTACATCGAAGCCAGTTTTGAGTGTAACACTCTTTGGGAGGTGGTATGCAAAGGACCCTCCACACACGCAGCAAGCTTCACCATGATTTCACTGCAGATCCTTTAAGATCTCACCTGCTTGTTTCTGTAATGCTAATTAATTGTAATTAATCATAATGTTTATTAATGTTAATTAATGTTAATACCCATAATTATAATGGCATTCTGTTTCTCAAGTTTCTTTATCTAGCAGCATAGTCATTGCACATTGTTTTGTTGACTTGATTTTGCAGCAAAAATAAATTATGCTGCTGGGCAGTTCTGCATGTGTTTTTGTACGATAGCTTTTGATTTTCATAGGCTTGACCTTGATCTTGCTGGGGACAATAGAAAATAAATCCCTCTGACTTTAGTGGTGTAGGATTCAGGCACACAGCAGTGGGTTGTGGCCCGATAACAACCGATTTTTAATTCTTTGAAATTTTTGGCAGGGTATTAGAAGTCATTTCCACAACACTGTTCTGCCCCTTCTCTGAACACACACTTTTTGAAACCAGAGATCAACAGAACCTTTGAAGGTCAGTGGTTGAACTTTTAAGTTACCATATGCTTTGAAAAAGAAAACAAGCCTGCAAACACCATTGCTTCAAAAAACAGTTATTCAACAGAGCACACAGTGTAATGCGTTATCATGCCATGCCCTAACTTACAGTTGGAGGTGTCTACTTGAATCTTTCTGGCCACTGTTTTAGGATGTGGAAAATTTCCTTTCCACAAAACTATTGACAACTGTGTCACCTTTTCCAAGCAGTTGGGTGGGTCCATCCCAAAAATTCTCAAAATGAGCAATTTTGCAGGTACGTATTTGTCTTCCCATGAAACGGTTGCTCGTGCTGGTGTGAGGGGGTGTCAGGACTGTGCAAGCAGGTGTTGGCAAAGGCTGGCAAACACCTTCAACAGATTGAGCGTGCTGGCACGTGTGCGGGTGCAGGCTCTGCACCTTCTAAGCAAGTGGACTGGATTACTTTGGCGTGGCTAAGATTTCTATGTACCATTAGTTCTGTTGTGTATTTTGCAGGTTTGTTCTGAAATAAAAACACTGTTCACATTTCATCTGACCAACGCCATGAAAACCAGACTTGCAGGATGTAAAATACATCGGTTTTGAACAAAGTGAATGTTGTAAAACCAAGATTTTAGTCTCTAGATGTATTAAATTGTAAACCTCTGCAATTCATATAATAGAAGTAATGGAAAACACTCTGCTTGTTTATGGAGAAAAAGTACTGTATCTCTCTATATGTGTATCTACGCCCTAGGACATGGTGTCCTGTTACAGCTAAGCAACATAACTACGTGCTGTGGCTAAAAATGAGCAGCTTCTGACTTCCTCACCCCTGCCCGCACGTCCTCACTGCTTTGTAGTGTTTGTGTGGTTGCAGGTGTGACCCTTCACACAGGCTGCTCCACAGCAAGATTAACCCATCCGATAAAGAGCAGTCTTCCACGCAGCCTCTCGTAGCACAAGAAAAGGAGTGGGACCACAGTCTGAAGATGGACTACCTCTACGGCTAAGCTGGCTTAGCACCAAAATCGCATCATGCTTCACAAAAGTAAGTCAGTCCTCAGATAAAAGATGTCCACAGGTGGCAGCAGAGGCGGAAGGGAGTGCAGTAGAAGGGTGAGGAGAGTGGGCTGGGAGGATGGAGGCATGAAAATTAGAGGGAGCTCCAGGATAAATTTCTTCTTACATTACCCACAGCCATGTATAACTTGGCCCTCTGTAGTGTCGTTAAGTTTTATTCGCTGGGTTTGTCTGTTTAACCGGAGTTAGTTCCTTGCTGCAGGCAGTAGGCGGTGGAGCCAGCTGGTACAGAGGCAGGCGGGGATGCTTCCGTCCCGACACGCTGCAGAAACCCCCCTGTCCTGACAGCATGACTTGGATGTGCAGGGCAGTGCCCGGCCCCCCTGCGCTTGTCACTTTTTCTGCTCCGCTCTGCCAGGGCAGTCGCTTTTCCAGGCTGACTGTTGTCCTAGCTGTTGCTAAACAAGGAAGGGTTTACTGCTTCCTCCTTCAGCCTTACGTCTGGTTGTGGTTAATGTGACTCAATGCATGTTTCATCTGATGAGAAAAACAGGGGAGGAAAAAAGGCTTCCAAGCTACATTGCTTCAGTTATCACCGAAATCTCCACTGCAGCCTTTTAAAGGCTTCTATTTAAGGCTCCTGAATGAGCATGCTGTATCTAGCAATGTATGTAGAGAAGTACTTAGAGGTGAACGTTACCAGATGCAAGTCAATCTCCCTAATGGTTGAGACCCTCTGTCAGCGCTACTCTTGCAGGGAACTCTCTGGTGCTCGCATTCGCCCGCATTTCTGTCTTTTCTGAGGCAGCTCTGCAATGACGGTCTGCTGCGGCTGAAGGCAGGCAGCCTGTTCTGCTTCCCACTGTTCAGAGAACCTTTTCCAAGGGACAATACTGCAACTACTAGACAGTCAAAAAATTGAAAATGTCATAGCAAAAAATGAATTTGAACTGAAGTAGAAGATTAATAAATGAAGGCCTTTCGATAGACAGCATGTTCCTGGGGCCAGGAAAGATGAGCAGAGGAGCAGGCATGCCACTGTGCCTGGTGAACTAGCCTGCCCTTCTGCTCCAGGCGAGTGGCAGCCAGGCAATGAGGTGCTCGATTAATGGCCTGTCTGGTGGCTTACCTGCCTGATTCCAGAGGAAAACATTTCCTCCAGGTGGAAATTTCCTGGTGGAAGGCTGTTGGAAAGTGATGTACTGTTAAACAGAAGGGGTGGGGAGATCCACTGGGATGGTTAAAGAAAGCGTACCCGCCCGAGTTGATGGATGGCATGAGGGGGACCGGGAGGGCAAAACCCCTCCTGCTGTAGGAGAAGATAGGGTTTGTGACCTCCTGCGGAACCTGAATGCACATAAGTCCATGGGCCCTGATGAGATGCATCCCAGAGTCCTGAGGGAATTGGCCGATGTAGT